CCTAGACCTAAAACAGCGAACGAAGGGAACTGAGCCGTCACCCTCTCTACGGCAATAGTTTCGTCCGGGGTGAGCACATGCTGCACTGCGTCGAACGACAGGTCACCCTCAGCGGGCGCGAGCTCTGCAACTGTAGCGTGGACTGTACGCGACCTAGCTCCCCTACTTACAACATTTAGGTCGAATGCCCTCCAAAAATCGATGCCCAAATACACCTCTTGCTGTAACCCTGGTACTATTAAAAATTCTAGTTCCCTTTTCATCTCATCCCATACTACGGGCAACGTGATTACACCTGTCACTGGGGTTTCGCCTCCATTAGCAGTTTTAGTATTTTGGTTACATATATGAATGATGTCTTCCTTCTTGCCTTCTAGAAATTTGCTGGCATTTTTACCCAGACAACTGGCTCCTGCGCCTGAATCCAACAAAGCTAACGCGTCTATGCCTCCTATTTTCGTTTGTGCAAAAAATCTATTATCGCCCTTCAATGTGACAATAGTGGACACTATCTTATTATAAATTCTTTTATACGATTTTTTCTTATCTCTCATCTTTTGTATTTTTCTGAAATTCCTATTCCTTTTCTTTTCCGTCATAGCTTCACAAAATATTCTCCTCCTTGCTTCTTCATACTCCAATTTCCTAACATGCAAATCCTTCAATTCACGTTGTGTTCTTATATCTAAGTTCTCTTTAAGTTCATCCCTACTTGCTCGTTTTAAAATCCTTACTGTTTGTTGTCCGGGTTCTCCTTCTCCTGGCTGAGGACCCCGGTTATCTCCGCCAGTTTTCCATTTCCCTTCATATTGTGGAAACTAGACTTACAACGCGTTTCCTTATTTGCTTCTAATGGATTTCTTGCAAAGTGGTCAACCGGCATCCCACACGCGAAGCACAACATTAAGTGAAAGGGCGAGGGACAGAAAGAATCGATGGTTGGTTTGGGGCTGGGCACAGACACGGCAGTAGACATACTGTGCGGGGTTACAGTGTTCCTCCTGTGTTCAGGTAGTTGGCCACCGTTCGCCTTGTTCCTAAGTGGGTTCCCTATAGCCTCTACCGGCTGCGGATTGACCACCTCATCAGGACAAAGCAAGTCGGGGTACACCAATTCATTGATGCCTTTAGCTCTACTTCTGTTTTCCTTGATTACCCTTTCCGCGCGCCTACATTCTGCCTTAAGCTCCGCTAATGTGTCCATCTTTGATGCAAACGTCAAGTTCGCTAAGTAGGGTTTTAGGTTGCCTTTGATTATGCCCACCAGTTCTTTCTCGGGTATTTTCTTACGAAGCCTAAAAGTCAAATTGTGAACTTCGCCGTAGAAGTCATCAAATCCCTCGGTTGCCAACTGTTTACGCTCCATGATTTGCCGAATTATCTCGTAATCGGACTCTGCGGTTTTGAAGTGGGCCAGCAGTTCTGCTTTTAGATCAAAATACCCGAAGTTGGGATCCTCGGCGTGATCTTCAAGCACCTGTCAGTACCACTTCAACGCAGAGCCCGTCACGAGACAATGGAAGTCCGTAAACAGTTCGTGATGAGTGACTTGATGCTGCTCCCTCATTTTCTCTATACGGAAGAAAAAACTTTCGATCGTAATTCCTTTGTCTGTGCCGTCAAATTTGACGTGCCATTTTTCCAGGTCCATCTTCTTCCATCTTGGTGGCTCGCGTCCATTACGGTTTCCGTCATCGTTTCCATGTTCAACCTCACTTTCATCTACTTCTCTACCTGCTTGGCTTAACTGACCCCTATTATCTGGCGTTGATGCATGGGTGGCGCGATGAACTGGAGCTTGGGATGTAGACGTTTCTATCTCGGCTACTCGGCCACTGAGGTTAGTCACGTACGCTCTCATATTCCTGACCTCATTCGTGCACTGAGCCATTAAATCGCCTTGTTGCGCCATCATTGCCATCAACCGGCACAGTTGCTCGACGTTGACATCAGTGCTGATCGGTCCACTTCTTCGAGCCCCAGCACCCCCAGATTCCGAGTTCCCAGGTCGCTTTTCTTGTGACATCTGAAAGATCTCGTCAAGCTTCTTAGAGAAACTCAGGCTATCCTCGGACTGGTTTGCTGAAAGCTTGATTTGCACTTGGGTGATCGCACTCGAGGAAAACCGCTTGAATTTTTGGTAGAATTTTTTTGGATATTTGATATTACGAAGTTCGTGGATAATTGAAATTTTTGATTTTATTTTTAACTTAGTTTTTAAAATTTTGCCTAGAGTTACAAAAGCCTGTAACGCGAGCTTTTAGGTTGCAAGTACACTTTCAGCAACTCTCCGCTAAACGTGTCTCAGCCGTGTATCCATACATGTTGCGCAACATACCTACATGTGTGTGTGAGTGTGGATGTGTGCGAGCGTATCCCTGTGCGTGAATGCGTGCGCGTGTATGCGTGTAACTTTTGAGTGAAAGTAGTAAGCAATTTCGCTACGATCGACGTATCGGGGCACGATCGCCAAATAACTGAAGTGAAAAATCAAAGCAAAAGTTGGCTTCTAGAAGAGTAAACGTGTAGTGAAAAATCCGCGGAAGTATTCCTTTTAACAAAAATAAAACAGCAGACAAGAGTGTAATTTTTTTTTTGTTTGCCGTTTAACCGGAATCGCCTACGGTTTGGAAAAAAAGGACCGTTCTAAGTCCTGCTACTAGGTAAGTAGAAAAAAAATTAATAAAAATCAATTTAAGTTTAATTCGTTTTGAAAATTTTCGTTCAAATCAAAATAAAGTTAATAAAAGAAATGTGAACTAAAAGCTGTGCGTGCTACAAGGAAAAAAATGCATGAAATCGACATGGAAATAAGTTAAACTCAGTACATAATAGAACCCAGTTTAATCTGACTAAATCCACTTGAATTTATGAAATAAAATTAAATAAATTGCAATAAAAGTTAGTAGATTATAATAAAGTAGAACAAAGTAAAATAAAGTAAATTAAAGTAAAATGATGATAAAATAAAGATATAATATTCCAAATAAAGATAAAATAATACAATAAGAGTGATAATAAAATCAAATTGAATAAAATTAAAGCTATTGTAAATTAATTGAAAAGGAGTTGGACTGCAGTTAAAGTCAGAGTTACATATCCACATATATATATATACATAAGTGTGTGTATGAACAAACGCCCAATCACACTAAAAATATACAAAAAAAAAAAAAGGTTCATATACACACGTACGTATATAGGTGCATATGTACATGTATACATACATGTAAATATATGCATCCAACATACATACATATGTGTATATTATAGAAAATTATCAAATGGAACTACTTTGAAGGCAACAAAACTATCCAACACTTCAATAGCCACAGGTGGAACTTGGAGAACGGCTAAAAATCCCATGAATTACACCAAAGGGCGATGACCGTAGCCAGATGGAAAGCGAACATAGATTTGGATTGTTAGAACAGCATCCACTGTGAGAGCAAACTAAGGAGAGTCAGACTCAGGAAGAGCGACAAAGTGATCGCCACTACTCGCCCATTTGACGGCGAGTGCTTTAGAGTGACTTCCAGCCCGTGTCGTGGAAATAAAGAATCATCGTGGGAGAACGACTACAAAAAAAAAAAAAAAACAAGGAGGAAAAGGGGACCGTGATAACGCAGCGCGCCGTAGCGCAACGTCGACGGCGACGTCAACATCAACGGGAGCAGCCGAGTCAGCAGATACCACCTTGTTGTTGTTTTTTTTGTTGAATTATTTTTTTTTTGGTGTTAAGAATTAAGATTTCCTAGTTTTCTCAGATTGTAGTTTGTAAGTAATTTAGCTTGATGTTTTTTTTGATAATTTTGTAATTTCCGTTTAGTTGTCAAATTTATTTCCTGGAGTGCTTTAGCATATGATTTTACCTTTTACTGAAATTCTCCTGTTTTCCTTTTCCGCAAACGTGTTTTTTTATTCTTTTACCGGCACTCGTATATTAAATTTTTCTGAGTTAAAGTACATACTTTGGGTTACACAGTTTGAATGGTGTGATATCCATTGTGTTTAAGTTAGTTTTTTTATTCTAAAAGTTGCGGCTATTTTCTTTTATTAATTTTTATTTTCTCGGTTTGGCCAGCATTCATCATTAATATTCTAGCACCGCGCGTACAAATTTTCTTTACATTCTTTCTTTTCACTTTTCACTTTTTATTTCGCTTTTCGATTTATTATTTCTTTTTTGCCGGTAATAATGATCCACTCGACGCCCGCAAACGCGAGTGAATGATCACAGGATCAATTGCCAAAACTCATTGAACCTCAGCTTAGGCAATGTATGTAAATATGTATGTATGAATAGGTACATGTCACGATCCAGAAAATAAAGGTCGCGCCATTCGCGGACCGCTAACCCTCTCTTCGTCGATTTGACAGCATCCACCCATTCGCTGACGTCACACAATACTTTTGTTTACATTTTCAGGTTCGTGATATTTTAGGTTATTTCAACTTTACAAATTTACAAATTGGAAAGATTTTGAGCGTTGTTTTGTTTTTTTGTGAAAACTTATAAAAAAGTTATAAATTAAAGAAAAAAATGAGGTGTGCAGTGATTAATTGTGCTAGTGTTAGTGCCAAAGGATCTGGGTGCAGTTTTTTTACTTTTCCGGCCGACATTGAGTTGGTGGAAAAGTGGATCCAGTTCTGCCGGAGACCAACGGATCTGTGTAAAACACTTCACCACTGATGACTTCGAGAACGAGCTACCTACGAGAACCTATAAATTGAATCCGGCATCAGATCACATGCAATAAACGGCAACATTTCATTACGATGTATTTTTTATTTATTTGTTATTTGAAAATATAACACGTTCCCCTGAGAAAGCTTTTTATTTATACATACTGACCTTCTGCTTCCTACCGGAAATGTTAGGCCGTATTCATAAAAACTAAGCAATTGCTTCTTTCTTGAAATTGCATACCTTTCACTTAAATTTGTTTGAACATAATATTTGAATTATTAATACTTATTTGAATTATATGTACTTATTGCCAATAACAATTTCTATTTTATTTAGTTTTAAACTTTTCTTTATATATTTATGATTACATAAATCGGTTCTCGTTTTATTACACAGGATCATCTCTACTTTTTATAGAAAATTTTGAAAAAAAGTGAAACTAAGTGAAGTAATTTTATTATTGGCAGAATTAGTGTCTAATCCTACGTGACTGCTTCTAAAAGCTATCGTGTTTCACGTGGCATATAAGACTTAATTTCATTATTACATTAGTGTTTTTTATATGTATGTATATGAATAGGATATTATATATTTATGTATTTAAAAACCCACAACTATAAGACCGCGCATCTGAACTTGTTAAAATCTTGCCGTGTCACAAACATATTCGTTATTATATAAGGAAAACTACGAAGAATATGAAAAAGAATATCAGTACTGCGAAGATTTTTATCATCAGTTTGGAAGTACTTCAATATTTGTATGTTTGTATCGATACGCTCCACAGTCTCCTCTTGCTCCTTAACCATATGTGCTGATTGTTGAAATATACCGCCTAGCTCGACAATAGTCGATTCAATGTTCTGCACAGTGTTGCCGTTTTAGCCCTTTGGTGGCTAAATTTGGCTACCAAATTCTTTTTTTGGCCACAAAAATTTGAAATTGCCCCTAGCCCTTTTTTTAGCTCTTTTCAAAATTTATTCATCATTGACATTAAATTTTTTTTTATGATTTTCATGAATTTAACTTTAAGGCAAGTAAACATATGTCTATGTATGTTCCTTACGTTTCTGGGCCGTTATCTTATCCATTAACGATTTAACTATACTTTAAAATAGGTAAGTCGGCGGCCCTTAATATGCTTTATGTGTTACACAAAAAGTTTTTTTGTTGAATAAAATATTAATTCTTTTCAGAGTTCATTGTTTTTCTATACCAGTAATTATAGAAAATGTTTGCGTGTATACATATATATTTATACTAGCAGTACCCCGGTGTGCTTCTCTACACCAAATATTGAAAAACGAATGAAAAGTCCTGGAATTTTTCTATATGAAAATTTATCATTTATTTTATATCAAAATTTTATATTCTTTATTTTAAATCTTAATCCAACACATTTGGATATACAAAATTTTTTGGTTTTTCCATCTTGGGTATGACAAAAAAAAACAATTTGGAATGCCAACTCTTGAACAGGCCACGTATAGCTACCAATTCCAGTAATCGACCACAAATATTTCAAGAGATATACCAGCTGAAATTTTTGTTAGTATGGGTGGTGCCACGCCCCCTTTTCCGAATTCGGGGAAACCTAACACAAACCATCTGCATAATAGCCCGAATATGCCGTATAAATTTGGTTGAAATCTTGCACTTATTCTTTATATATAAGATGGGAGGTGCCACGCCCTCTTTTCCAATAATATAATAATAATAATAATAGATTGGCGCTTACACATATGTTAGTGTTTAACCGAGCTTCTCCTCCGATTTGTGGCGTGCGCCTTGATGTTCTCACACAGTTTTACGCCGACTCCGAACGGCGATTGCATTTGTATGAGAAGCTGTTTTTCATGGCAGAAATACACTCGGAGGTTTGCCATTGCCTGCCGAGGGACGACCGCTGTTAAGAAAAAGCCTTTTTTTTTATTTTTTGCGATGTTGCCTTGACCAGGGCTTGAACCCGGGTGCTGATGAGTGAAAGCGCGCACTGCTTACCACTACACCACAGCGGCCGACAATTCCAATACCGCCCATTTTTATCCATGAGTATGGAATTATTTGTTATACCTCTATACCAACTTCCAGTACTCTACCACAAATATTTCAAGAGATATACAACAAAAAAATTTTAGTTAGTATGGAAGGTGCCACACCCCTTTTACGAATTCGGGCAAACTTCACATAAACCATCTGCATGATAGCCTGAATATGCCGTATAAATTTGGTTGAATTCGGTGAAGCCGTTCTCAAGTTATAAGCTCACACCAAAAACGTGTACTTATTTGTATACATAAGATACATACATATGCCACGCCCCTTTTCCAAATTTGGGCAAACTCCACATAAAATATCTGCATGATGGCCCGAATATGCCGCATAAATTTGGTTGAATTCGGTGAAGCCGTTCTTAAGTTATATTGCCACACCACAAACGTTCACTTATTTTTATATTTTAGTTAGTATGGGTGGTACCACGCCCCCTCTTCCGAATTCGGTAAAACTTCGCATAAACCATCTGCATGATAAATCGAATATGCCACATAAATTTGGTTGAATTCGGTGAAGTTGTTCTCAAGTTATGAGGTCACACCGAAAACGTGCACTTAGTTTTATATATAAGATGAAGGTAAAAAAATTTAGCTACCATTTTTAGCTTTTTTAGCCCTTTTTTAGCTGGAATTTAGCTACCACTAAAAACGTTTCGCGGCAACACTGGTTCTGCATAGTCTCAGCCCGCTGTTGCACGTAACTATCGGAGTCATCATATAATGCAATCTGCTGCTGCGTCTGTATCCCACTACCTCCGACTGCACCCAGCAATGGTGTTGTATCACTTGCGGCCATGTCAATGCTTACGGCCGTATTCTCTTCGCTTAACAGCAAGGAGCCCTGTTTCGCTGTACTCGAGCGAACAGTGCTAGCAGCAATTGGTGACTGCCCGAATTGATCCCGACGCGCTTTTTGTTGTTTGAGATTTTTTATACGCACTTCTAGTATCTGTTTGAAGTCGGTGCCCATGCTGGCTAATTTAGATTGTAACGCATACACCATGATGTAAGTCAATTCTTGAATCTATTGCGGTCGATCATCAAAAAGACTCTTCTTTTTAGCCACTGCAAAAGAAGAGGTAAAGTAATATTTATAATTAAGAACACCTATTCATTTTATACTCACGCATTGTAAATTTTTCCAACTTGGCATATGCACTTGCTATGTTTTTGCCAATATATGTGACCATCATATATTCCTCTCATACGTCAATTGTTGCACCATAGCCTGTAAGAAATGCATAAACATAATAATGTAAACGTCTTCAAATGCACTTCTACTTCTAACTTACTTGTAAGTCTCTAATATGTTGCTCGTACATAAATTGCGTCTGCGTCGAGGTCTCTATCCGATTGCGGCCTTGGTTTACATTGGCCTTATCCGACAACTGGCGTATGATAAGCTGCGCCATTTCCAACTCATTTGACTTTTCTTTGAACTCATGTTCAACATCGGGAGCACGTTGCTGCATTACATCTAACAGCCTTTTCATTTCATCCAGATGAGCCGCTTGATGTGGCCAACACCCAAAAGGTTTGTTTACAAAGTGCATTTTTGAGTAGTTGAACAAATGCCAGTGGGCAGCCAGCGGGTCAGTTGTTGGCAACAATTTGCAGGCTTGGGCCCAGCGTTTGTTGCGGCTGCCGGAAAAGTAGCTAAATAATGAAAGTAATTATATCTATAGCGGAGTAGGAGGTTTTCCTTTATCTTAAAAGCTTGCTTACTGATTTCACTAATTGACGACGATGCAACGATCACCGTGGAATCGTTCTGCAAATTGTTACCAGCAACTGACCCGCTGGCGGCCCGCTGGTATTTGTTCAATTACTGAAAAAATGCAAATCATTATAATGATTGCAGTGTTTTAACACTTTAAGCGATTTGCATTGCATTTAAGAAGTACACATTCTTTACTTTTAAACAACCAATTTACCATTTAAAATTAAATAATTCCGTAAATCCGCGATTTATTATGCACTTTGTAAACAAACCTTTCAATTTCGCCCCAGCTGTTCGATTCTTCTCCTTTTTCTTATTGAATTCGTCTTTGTTCTCTCATTCTGGTATTTTTTGACGTCACGGCCAGTTGCTCTCAGCTCGATTGGCGCAATCTTGGATTCTATCGTTCTTGCTTTGTATGTATTCCATTACCCAGAAATTAGCAAACTTTTAAAAACTTAGCGATCTGTTGAGTTTAGATTTTGCTTCACAGTTTCTTAAGTTACACTTTTAGTACACTGGTACAAATGGTTGTGCGAAGTTATGCGAAGTATGCATAATCAGACCCTTATTACGAAGGTTGTTCTCGACGGAACGACAAGGAAGCTGCGCGCACAATATTGCTTTGGGAAGCACTTCCTTTTCACAAATGAGCTACAGCTTACGCTCATCGAGCAACTCCAGCGTTCCATTGGCGTCCGACGTGGAGCCACAACCAGCGACACTCACGAGTGTTTTATTGGCGCCTCGCGTCTGTCACCGTGTACGAAGACATAGAGCGAGTTTCCGACGCAGACGCTTTACGTGGAATGCCCCTTCTTTTAGAAGACTACGCAGCAACATGGTGGATCGGTGCTAAGGAAAACGTGAAGACTTTTGCCGATGCGGTCGATCTTATAGCACGACTTTCTCAACGCCTATCCCCGATTGGAAAGTATATATTTCACTGTTTGAGCACAAATAGCAAGCAAGAGAACCAACTGATAGTTTATTTGCAAGAAGAGGTTACTCTTTTCGCAACTGAGAGTGTAAGCGAATCCGTCCAAATCAGCATGATCTACGGCCTCTTGTCAGTTAAAATAAGAGAGCGCGTACGTCGTGAACAGTGTTGCCGCGCCGTCTCAAAAAAATGTATCCCTGACCAAGCCAAAAATGTATCCAAATGTATCCATTTTTTTTTTTACATATACATCTCATAACTTGTAAGAAAACCAAACATTTTCATGAAAAAGACATAATTTAACCCATGCTAAGGACTTGGAATACATGTGAATAAAATCAAACATTTGTAATTTCAATTTATAAAGTACATTTTTTGTGCATAAGTATTTTGCAAAGTAAATATAATAAATAGCAAGTACACTCTAAAAAGAGGATGTAAAACTACTACTGAAAAGTGTCTATTTTTCAACAAGAATCTGTATAAATATACGTATAGGATGTTCAGCATTTGATTTTGAACTTGAGACCTTTAAAATATACACATAAATACACACATGTAGAATGTTTAAAATTTCAAAATTTTTCAAACTAAAATTACATTTTCTACTAATAATAAACATTACTTTATTTTAAACATTTTATGTGTAAAAGTAAACAGGCAATGATTAATTTTATTACACGGCGTGCAAATTTGCATACATTAAAGGAGGAAACTGGTTACCTCTCTCAATATGCGCAAATAAACAAAATTTTTTTAGAGTGTATTTAAAGTCTTTTCAGTAAAATTCATAAAAGTTTCCTTAAATAAATCAAATTTAGTTTTTTAAACTACATTGAAATCTTCTTTCTTTTTAAATTAAATGAAAATATGTTATATGAAAGAGATTGCTACAGAAAGAGTATAATTTACTATATATATATCGTCGTTTAAAGTACAAAACCGCGTATCGTCATTCTGCAAAACCGCGTAACTGACATTTGCTGCCAAAAATTGGATTTGCTCACACAAGCTCTTGGCTCAATCCTTATCCATTCGTCCTGAAATATACTAGCCAGAAATGCGATTGCTTTATAAAAAAGAGAACCATTTTGAAATATAAGTGTTTTTGCTCTCTAGAAAATAATTTGTGCAACGTCACNTTATAAAAAAGAGAACCATTTTGAAATATAAGTGTTTTTGCTCTCTAGAAAATAATTTATGCAACGTCACATACGCGGTTTTGTACTTTAAACGACGGTATGTATATTAAGATCTTGCTTAAAGCATCCTTTTATGCTAATTAAAGCAATTGCGCTTAAACCTATTTTGGTGAGATCTCTTCATATGTTCATTGCTTCGTTCACAAAAAATAAAATGCTTTAATTTCACGCTTAAGTAGCGATTCTTTATACGTTTACAAAACGTAATGCTTTCTACCATCTTTAATGAAAATCGATTTTTGAACGAAAAAACTTTATCGGAAATATAAAATTTTTCGCCTATTTAAAAAAGTATCCACATTTATACTGACCGGAAAAAATAAGTATCCCGCAAAAATTCGTCTAAAAATGTATCCAATTGGATCTATTTAGATCCAAACGGCATCCCTGGTCGTGAATCGTTCTCAACTTTTGATGAGCTTTTGGCACACTGGCGTGAGGCAGAACTGTTTGTGCATGAAGTTAGGATGCTCTTATTGCCGAATTCGCGGACACACCGTTGAGATTTGCTTAAAGCGTAAGAAAGAGCAGCAGTCGCAGCAGGCGGTATGTTGTGTAACCGTGTGTTTATTGTAGGGCGAAGTGGCATGTAGGCATGCTAGCGTGCCCTGGCCTAGCTCGTCGGTGGGGGGGTCATCTTTCTCTCTCTCTCTTCCCACAGGCTCTCTACAGCATGCTGGTACCCAAGAACGATAGAATACAAGATTGCGCCAATCGAGCTGAGAGCAACTGGCCGTGACGTCAAAAAATACCAGAATGAGAGAACAAAGACGAATTCAATAAGAAAAAGGAGAAGAATCGAACAGCTGGGGCGAAATTGAAAGGTTTGTTTACAAAGTGCATAATAAATCGCGGATTTACGGAATTATTTAATTTTAAATGGTAAATTGGTTGTTTAAAAGTAAAGAATGTGTACTTCTTAAATGCAATGCAAATCGCTTAAAGTGTTAAAACACTGCAATCATTATAATGATTTGCATTTTTTCAGTAATTGAACAAATACCAGCGGGCCGCCAGCGGGTCAGTTGCTGGTAACAATTTGCAGAACGATTCCACGGTGATCGTTGCATCGTCGTCAATTAGTGAAATCAGTAA